CGATTGCGCTCACACGCGTTCTGACGGTCGTCGGAGCTGGCCAGGAGGTCATCGGAGGTCTCTCTTGGAGTCTCGGCCTCCAAAGGCCTGGGATGACACCCCAGGGCCGTCAGAGATCTGCCCGGCACCGCCCCTGAGCCCAGGGAGGGGCCCCAGGGGCGGTTGTGAGCGGGTCTTTGTCGGCTCGAGGACGGCGGTTTGACGGCCGCCAGCAGCTCGCCGTGAAAGACGACGGCGACGACGACGACGACGACGACGTCGTCGTCCTTCCTTGTTTTGGGCAGTTGGGGGGGTGGGCCTTTCTGGAGACTTTCTATCACAGCGATGAGACGTACCTCAAAAAGATTGCCAGGAGGGGCCCAGGGACGGATCCCGAGCGGATGCTGGAGGATCGCCTTGGAGGCAAGTGGCTCCAGCTTCGAGGGTCGAGGCCTTCGGGCTCTTCTGTGGGCGTCCTGAGAGCTTCTCGTCGCCAGGGCTGGATTCGCCTTGGAACTGCTGTCCACCTGCACCCCATGAGAGCTCCAGAGAAGCGATCTTTCCAGGTCGCCACGAAGAGAGGGGGGTCCTCAGGGAAAGAGGCCCTGAGGCATCTCGCCCTCTCCAGCCTCCCGTGGCCCGTCCTGGGCCGCAGTGGCTGTCCTCACCGTGCGCGTTCCACTACTCGCACAGTGCCCATTCGCAAAGGGTCCTACAAATAAACGTTTGCGTCGAAGTAATGGAAATCTCGAATCCACCTCGGCGTATCTGGGCCATTTGCGAGCAGCTGCTTTGCGAGTATAGCGGAACGCGCTTGCCCAGGTCCAGAACTGCTCGGGAGGAGCGTCCGGTCCGCGGGAGAAGGCTCCGGGGCCCAGGGCCCGGGGCCCCTCGGCACCCCCCTCCTTCCGCGTTCCCCCGGCCAGGAGTGCTGCAGCACGTCGCGGACTTCGGGCCGACGTTCCTGGGCCGCGTGCACTTCCGGCGGGCCTGCGCGTCCACGCAGCTGGTGGAGTGGCGGTGGGCCCCGCCCCTCTCCATCTCGGAGGACCTAGGGAGGGGAAAAAGCACACAGACACCTGGAATCGTCGATTCCCACGAAAATAGCGGAAAATGTGAGAAGTGGGGGGGGGAGATGGAAACCCAGAAAATGTAGGAAATCCTGGGATTTGTCTCTATTTATGTATGTGTCCCAGGGCCCCTTTAGGACCTGAGCGGCCTCGGGCTGGGGGACGTGGGCGCTTGCGCCGTGGCCGAGGCGCTGGCGCGCGGGGCGAGCGACGACGTCGTCCGCCTCCACGTCGGCAACAACGCCATCGGCGACCGCGGGGCAGCGGCGCTCGCCGGCGCTCTGGCAGAGAGCAGGGCGCCCGTGCGGCGCGTGTACATGGAGAACAACGAGGTCGGTCTGGTCGGGGCCAGGGCCATGCTGGCTGCGATCTCATCCAGTGGAACGCTCAAGGAGGTGGACTTGCGCGGTAACCGGTTGAGCTCCGCTGGCAAGAGGGAGGTCAGGTACTCGCGCAAGGGGAAGCAGATGTTCCTCGATTGGGACCTGCCCTCCCCCACGTACATGTCTGACACCCAGCCGCACATCAACCCCAGGATGCGTTGCATCCTCTTCGACTGGCTGATGGACGTGTTCGCCAGCTCCTTCCACACGCCGATGCCGGACAATTCATTCAGTCCATCGGAGATGTTCCAGACCTTCAGCATCGTAGACAGATATTTGAGCCGGCGATCGAATAATCAAAAAATACAGTTGCATAAGCAGAAAGGAAAATGCATTAGCATGAGTGTTCGGAGGTCCGCGTGGATTCCGTGGATCGGCGCTGGGACGCAGAGTGCGCCAGGGTCCGAACCAAGAAATCAGCGCGAACTTCTGGAAGTGTAAGTTGGTGTCGTTTTTGCTTCCCTCCAGGCGACCAGTGGCGAGGGAGCATTTCCAGCTCGTGGGTGCCGCTGGTGCGTTCGTGTCCGCGAGGCACGGCGAGCTCGGCGCCGACCGCGAGCCAGCGGCGCTCAAGAGCGTCAGGCGGCTGGTCCGGGTGAGCGACCACGCGTTCACGGACGAGGACCTCCTGAGGACGGCGGGGGACATCCGGGAGGCGCTCGAGCACGAACTGGATCAGCCCACGGTGTATTGGCCCGCTTTTTCGGCAGACCCCGGCGCCGCGTGAAGCGCACCCAGAGGGTGGTCTTCTAGGCTCTACCGTTAAGTCGGGCTTGTTCCTCTACAAGAGGAATATTCAAAATAGTCCAAAAATAGTTTGGGGACGACTTGTCTATGATTTTTGGTAACTTTTGCGCATGATTGGCTATTTGTCATTCTTCCTCCAAGATCCGCCTGTAAGAGGACATGCCCAACCTGATTCTACCAAGAATGGGATCGAGGCTCCGCCAAGCGTGTGTTATCCTAAGGCGTGATTCACCCGGTCCGCCTGTGTCGGCCTTCGGTGCACTGGCTGCGTCGTATTGAGGGGCGTCGGCGGACAAGCACACGCATTTCGGCGGCGAGCCCCGGGGGAAGTGAGAAGGGGGTGGGCCTGCTCAGAAGGCTCGGAAGTCCCCCAGCCTTCTGAGAAGTTGTCCGAGCCTTCCCCGAAGAAACAGAAAACTTCTCAGAAGGCGCCGGAGGGCTTCTGAGAAATCCCGACGCCTTCTGAGAAGGCCTGCTCTTTCTCACTTCCCCCCCTCGCCCGCCGCCGAGCGTTAACACACGTTCTGGGGATCATCGATAGGAAGCAGCGCCACGGTGCCGCAGTTTTGCGTGGCCGTAACGTTCTGTGGTTGCTGCATAGGCTATGAAAATTCTTTGGTTGGAGGCCCGCTGGGGGCGCTTTGTGTGCACGGTAGGTCGTGTCGTGTCGACGCGGCGAGCCCGCCGCGGGCGTTCAAGGTTGAGCTACGCCAGTGGTCCAGAATCGGCGAATATGGGAAGGATCTGGCGATCTATTGCCGCCGATCGCTCAAGGCTGAGGGATCCACGCTGGGTCAGAAATCGGCGCCAGGGTCGTCACGGCACGAACCTGCCTGATCGGGGCCGGTGTGGGTTCCCACGGTTCTGCTCAGCTTTGCCGAAGCGGCTCGATGGAGCCATCTCTTGAGGCCGGCCGGTCGGGGCTTTTGGGGCTGCTTTGGGATTCTTTTGGAGCGGCCCTTGGCCGAATTGGGGTGGGTCCCTCGTGGGGCCTTGTCCTTCGGCTGTCTCTGGGATTCGTTTTGTGCTGTTTGATGCCTTTCCGATGAGGGGCAACGTCGGGGGTGGGGGGGGATCGGCCCAAGGGTGCGCACGTCGACCCGCAATCGCCGATTTGTCGCCGGTAGGGGCCCGAAAGCCCGCCTGATGTTCTCCCTGCATCCGAGGCCATCTTCGGTCGAGCAGCCTCGGAGGCCAGACGAAACGAACAGCCTCCGAGGCCATCTTCGGTCGAACAGCCTCGGAGGCCAAACGCCCATGCGTCGCCGAGAGGGGCCCGAAAGCCCACCGGATGTTCCCCTGCATCCGAGGCCGTCTTCGGTCGAGCAGCCTCGGAGGCCAGACGAAGAGGCAGAATCCGTTGACACTCCGGGCGCTGCGGGTTCCTTGCTTGCTCGACTGAGTCATTGGCTCGCGTTTCCAAGTGTCCGCCAGGTCGCCGCCCGTCGCCGCCTCGTCTCCACCTCGCGCGCTGGCTGGAGGTTCAGGGTTTTCGCTGGGTCGCCGCCCATCGCCGCCCAGTGCGCTGGCTGGCATGTCCAGCTTCTCGCTTGGTCGCCGCCCGGTCGCCGCCTCGTCGCCGCCTCGTGCGCTGGCTGGGGTGTCTGGGTTTGCGGCCGGTCTCCGACGCACGTAGAGTGCACCACATGGCTTGCACCCCACAGATCGGGCGCCGTATACTGCACACGATATGGTGCCAACCCTTCTCATAGCGATGCATGGTAAAGATGCAAGGGCATTGGGTGGCCATGTTAACGTGTTTCGAACGAGGTCAGGCAGCGAAAGTTACAGAGGCTGGACCGAAGGGACAAGGATGCACGGGTAGCCTTGGAAGGTCATCCTTACAATGCGGGTTGACTGGATTGCACCACGTGGACTGCATCGCGTAGATTGCACCACAAGTTGCATCCTGCACAGGGTACTCCAAAAAGATTGAGCATCTAGAATACAAGAACACATTGTTTGGAGTCCACGCCAGAAAACGTATTCCATTGCACTTGTCTGCCAGGTCCGTGCTGGGTGCTTCTTGGCAGCCTTCTGGGGGCCTGGTGAGATCTCTTTGGGGCTTCTTGGGGGCATAAACTATCAGAGCCTTGCGGCAATCGTTGAGCCCTCTTGGGATGGTCTTGGGCAATCTTGCAGTCGTCTTGGGCGGTTTTGGCCCTATTGGCCCGTCTTGAGACCCAGAATCGCGCCGAGCAGCAAAACCAGCGGGGCGATTTCTGGGTGACCTGTGCGGCCGGGGTCGCGGTGCCGCCCTCGTAACCTGCAGAAATCTAACTGGACAACCCGCGGGCATCTCAGCACGCCCCAACGTGCCAAGGGCACGCTGCCGGACACCCTCCTGCTGAGATACTTGGTCCGCACTGGTTGGCAGATGAGAGGCCTGCTGTTGTCGGAGTACTTGCTCCACCTCGCGGCGCTCAGCTACCCCATGCTGCTCTACCGGCCCCAGGTGGTGGTAACGGCAGTGGTGGCGCTCACGCACAGCTCGCTCGGAGAGGTATCGGGCGCGGTCGCCGGTTGGCAACAACGGCTGCTGCGCCACGCGAAGGTGACGCGGGAGGAGGTCGTTCCTTGCCTGCGGGCTGTGGCTTCGCTGCACGCCAGCGCGCGTCAGGGGAGCTTGGCGCTCAAGGGCGACAACGGGAAGATTTTGTCGGCATTCCGGAAGTTTTCGAGGCGCGACATGCAGGAAGTCGCGAAATTGCAGCTGGCGCCGCCAGCTTCCGCTCTGCTTCCGCAGTTGGGTGGGGGCGTGCTGACTCCCGAGCGTACCCAGCTGTGCGCGAACGAGCCGTCAGATTCCGAGATCGATGTTGACATCGATGGTTGACGGCGAGGTGGTCCATCTGTGACACCCGCCAGCTTCTGCCGCCTCTGAAGGGAGAGTACCTAGCGTGCGGCCAGAGATCACCCGTCTCGGTCATAGGACACCCAGTGCGGCCAGAGTTTTGCTGCGGGTGCGTAGCTTTCTGTTTAGTCTTCAGAATTCAGAATTCGTGCGCGCTTCCTCGAGTGGTCGCGGCAGTTCCACGTCGCTGCGTAGCCTCCCCACTCTGTCTGTTTGTGGGTGTCCATGGCAGCCGAGGCTCCGCAAGGCCCCCCGCGGCAGATTCTCGCGAGGCGGCCGCGGTCGGACTCTTGACGGAGCACGAAGCCGGGTGGGCGCAGCAGTCCCACGTGCACGCCACGTCGTTGCTCTCTTCAACCTCCTCTTTGGGTGCCGCATGCCGCGGTCAAGCACTGCGCCATGCGACGATTTGCATGTGGAGTGCATGTGCTAGGCATCTCCAGATTGCCAGGGAAAGAGCACGGAGTCCGTTACCTGTCGCAGAGCTCGAAAGCATTCCCCAGGTGACCCAGATGGGGATTTCAGATCGCCCCAGAGCGCGTGTTTTGGCTTGGGTTGGAAAGCTTGTGTTAGTCAGGTGGCGGGGCGAGAGGGCTTGCGATCTCTTCCAAGAAGCCTCCTGCCTCTCAAAAGGCCACTCCCGTTGCCCCATCCTCCTGAGCGCGCCGCCATTCCTCACGGCAGTCTCTGTCTTCTCTCCGATGCCCCAGGCAGAGTCCAACACAAGCCCTGGGCAATTTCAGGAGATGTAAGTATACACCCCCCGAATTCTTATCGCAAGATATCTTACAAGACTTGCATGCTCGTGCCAGCATGTGCCTGACAGCAAGTCCTTGCTCACCGACGACCCCAGGGGGCCGCTGGAATTCTGGGGCGCCTCGCGATGCGGAGCATCTCGACAGTGAATGTTCTTCCAGATCTCTGTTCCACTGCGAAGTCTTGTCGTACCTTAAATCGGGCATGTCCCTCTACAGGAGGAACATTTAAAAGTAGTCAAAAAACAGCGTGGGGGGGCGACGTTTCTACGATGTTTGATTGTTTTGAGCATTGTTGTACCATTCATCATTTTTCGTCCAAATCCGCCTGTAGGAGGACATGCCCGACCTAGTCGTACCTACCTCTGCACGCTGGCACAAGGCTCAAGGTCGTCTCGAGCGTCCAGCCCGCTCCGCCCACGCCGAAGCCCCTGGATCGGGGCGTGTAGCCATCCAGTGGATCACCGCCGCCATGGCCAGCTCGGCCTTTCCCGGCGGGCTCCTGGGCAGCGCCCTGCGGCTGCTCGTCTTCATCGCAGTGGGCCTCGCGTTCGGCTTCCTGTTCGAGCGGTCGCACGTGTACGAGCCTGACGCGATTCGGAAGCAGTTCATGTTCCAGCGCAACATCATGCTGAAGATGTTCGTCGGGGCGGTCGGCGGCGCGGCGTTAACGTTCTACGTGTAGGAGCGGCCGCTTCTTTCCAAGTCAAGCGACATCATTGAGCGTGTCCACAGGTTCCGCAGTGGAACGCCACTGTCGCGTGCCGCGCTTGGTGGCGCGAAACTGGGCGTCGGCATGGTGGTCGGCGGCGCATGTCCGGGGATGGTGATGCCGCAGGTTGGCACCGGCGTGTACAACGCGCACATCACGTTGCTCGGTGGCTTCGCGGGGGCGCTGATGCACAACCTCTGGGAGTTTGCGCAGGGATGATGGCGTCGGAGGAACCAGTCGCGCGCCGTCGCCGCCAGCGCCGGCAGTGGCGACGCCGCCCCGGCCGCAGAAGACCGCGAGCGCAAGTACCGCGGCGACTCCCTGGACCTGCGCTTCGGCCTCCCATTCGACAAGTGCATGCTGGGGATCTTTTTCGCGTGCGCCGCGTTCTACCTCGTCATGGAGCTGGCCATCGACTTCGAGTCCGAGCTGGTGCCTGACACGAAGGGCGCCTGGCCCCCGAGCCTGGCGGGGTTTGGGATCGGGCTGGTGAACCTGGTCAGCCTGGGCGTGGCGGGCGCCAGCATGGGCAGCAGCAAAGCCCATGCGCAGGTCATGCTTCGAGATGTCTCCCGTGGTGCCTTGAAGCAGGGAGTGCGCGAGCCGGGGCAGCGGGCTCTGAGCGGCGGGGCCAGCGCTAAGAGCGGTGCCTCGGGCAGCGTGGTCTGGTTCAACGGCGCGCTGGAGCGGCACCAGCAGGCGCCGCACTTGTGCGCGAGCGTGCTGGGTGCGTTCCTCTCTCGTGAGATGGCGGGGAACGCAGGTGCGCAGGGCGTGGAGCAGGAGGGGATTGCCTTCTTTAGCGGTTTCCCGATGCTGCTCGGGAGTCGCCTGGGCGGCGGCTGCACGAGCGGCCACGGCATCGCGGGCATGCCTCTCCTATGTATCCCATCTGTCGCAGCAGTCTCCTCTGTGTTCGGCGCCGGAAGTCTGACTGCGCTGTGGATGGACGGACAGCACAAGATGCAGCTGCAGGCGGAGCGGTGATGTAGTGCGTCACCAGTGTCGCGACAAGTTGCCGCAGGAGCTGCGCATGGATGAGGTTCGAAAGACATGAGTGGCGCTCGAGATATCGCGCATACGGGCAGCGATGAGCTGCTTCGTATTCAACTCAGACGCTGTCTGTTCAGGAGTCTGTTCTCAAGTCGCATCTCAATATTATTCCTCGGGGTCTCTGGGGCAAGCAGGTCCCGTCATCGTTTTTCATCTTGTACTTGAGAGTGCCGAGCTGACGTCCTCCAGGAGTGCCGGGCCTGTTCACAACCGAAGCGTGGCAAAGAGGTTCCAGTCCGGGCAAGCACAGCTCAGCGTCCAGAAGGTTCCACGCCCACAGCGTGGTTACAGTTTGATTGTTCATGCTGTATTTGAGAGTGCCGAGCTGATGCGCTCCATGAGTGCCGGGCCTGTCTACAACCAAGGCGCGGTAAAGTTGTTCCAGCCTGGGCAAGCCCGACTCAGCGCCAAGTAGGGTTCACGCCCACAGGGCGATTACAGTTTGATTGTTCATCGTGTATTTGAGAGTACCGAGATGCTGCGCTCCAGGAGTACCGGGCGTGTCCACAACCGAAGCGCGGTAAAGAGGTGCCAGCCCAGGCAAGCCTGGCTCAGCGCCAAGTAGGGTTCACGCCCACAGCGCGGTTGGCCCCGTCAAAAAAAACATCCATCATTGCCTCTCGCCCTTGCCGTCTTCCCCATCTGCCGCGATTGTCGCTTAAGGCGAAGAAGATACGGCCGAGGTTGTTGTCACTGATCGCCCGTGGAACAGATGCGCTGGCAGATTTGACAGGAGTCCCGAATGGACCATTGCCACGTCTCTCCAGCGATTGCCCTCCTACACTCTTCTCGTCGCTCTACTGTTCTCTGGCACTTCGTCTAGAGTTCCGACCCCTTTACTTCGGCACGGCACCATAGCCGCAGCCCTCGTCCCCAGCCCCGCTCGTCCTCCCACGGCAGGCAGAGCGGTCCCTCCACGCGACCTTTCTGTTGTGGCACGTCAACGGAAGTGCAGCCCCTCTCCCCCGCAGCCAGCACCGCTCCTCGTCAGCCCCAGCAGCCAGAGCGCCCCCTCCGTTTCGGCACAACACCAGAACCGCAGCACCCCTTCCTTGCAGCCAGCCCCACCCTTCTCCTCATCCTCTGGCAGGCAGCGCGCCCCCTCACCAGAGCGCCCCTCCGCCCCACGGCACCCGAACCGGCGGGGCGTAACGAAAACCAATGTAGGCGCACGGGAGACGGGGAAGGCGGGATGGCCGGAGGAGAAGGGTCGCCAGACGGCCGGAGCGCCCTCACCACGTGAAGATTTTCTGGAAGTGCTGGGGACACGCTCAAGTAATCGATTCCGGGGCAACGATAGGGGCTGGGGGGAGAGAGGCATAGGTGGGGGGGGGGGAGGGTTCGAGATTTTTGGGAGGTTTCGTGGCTTCGCGGCGGTTTCCTGGCCTCGGGATGGTCTCCGGCAGGTCCGCCTCGCCGAGAGCGTTCCGGGGGTGCCTGGATCGTTCCGAGCGGCCGCCGGAGGCCCGAGTTCCGGCCCGAAAACCACCCGGGACGGGGATGGGCATACGGGGGGATGCATCGACCCCCAATCGCCCATCGATTGCCGATAAGGGTGGGATGGCCCCAGCCTGCCCAGGAAGGTGCAATTTCGCTATCGGGTGCCTATCGCCGATCTATCGACGACATGTCGCCAATTCTGGGTCGATGCATACACCCCTACAGTGGAAGCCCATGCCAAGAAACGCTTTGCTTGCCTCAAGGGTGCCCTGGGTTTCAATAGTTTTGCGATGGAAAGGGTGACGCTCCCACACCAACAATCCATGGACGCCTTGGGATCTCAGGGTTTGGTTTCGTGTTGAAGGTTTCTTGTGGTCGAGCTCCTACTGTATGCCAGCCCCCCCTTGCGATCGTTATTTTATGTATTGTTTTGCCGATCGGCGCGGGCCCTCGCACCCCGTCCCCCCCTCCATGGAGTAAATATCGGCTGTGCTTAGCGCCTGTTTCAAGCAGGTGGAGTCTCCCCCGCGGATCGCACTGTTGCAAGCAGTCGCATTAGCAGAGGTCCAGAGCCAGACGCCCCCCCCCCCTCTCCCCTTCCGCCCAGTGTCGACACGCCGAACAAGAAAACGTTCCCCCTGATCGTTGTCCCCCAAAGGTGCACCGCACACCCGTGCTGTGCGGGCAAAGCAGGCGCCGCCGCAGCCCCTGCCCCAGCGGGGGGGGGGGGGGCGCAGGCGCACGGCGGGCGGCGGCGGCAGGCGGAGGCCCGCCACGGCGTCGGGAGCCGAGCGGGGAGTGGCCGCCCAGGGGTGCCGCCCCACGCGGTCCGCTTTGGCGGCCCGCGTGGGGGCGGGGGGGGGGCGAGCGGGGAGCGGCCGCCCCTGGGCGTCGGTCATCGGCGAGCGCGAGATCCCAAGGACCCCCAGCGCTTGGGCCACCGAGCTGACTCGCTCGTGCAGCTTCAGGTCGGGGCTTTTCAGGAGCAGCGCCCAGGGGGTCCTGCGTCGGGAGAGCGGGGAACGGCCGCACGCGCACTGTTTGTTCCTCCAGCAGCGAGGTGGCGGTACCGTCGCGCAGCGGTAAGCCGGGTCACGATGAGGAGGAGTCCCACTTGGCGCAGCAGGCGGGTGGATTGGGCGCGGCAATCGCGTGCAGAGGCGCGCACGCGCGTGGAGACGGCCGGACGGCCGGACGGGGCATGCAGCGCAAGGGGAGGTCAGCCCAAAGAGAGGCCGGCAACGGGGCGAAGAGCGCGCGGTGAGGTAGAAGTGGGCACACACACACACAGAACGGAACGGAAGATTCCAACGTACGATGACACCAGCAGCAGCATGCAGCATGCAGCGACGCCGTCTTTCATTCCATGGTTATGTGAATGTTAGCAGACATGGCCTACTCGAGCACGCGCCATGTAAGGCTTGAGCGCGTGCCCATGAAACAGATTGGGCCAAGCACTGCGGAGAAGGCTCTGTCTGCCATGGCAGAGCACGCGTGACCAAAGAAAACCATTGTGGTCTGCGCGCGCAGGCCTGTGGCTCCGCGCCCAACAACCCCCACCCCGGCCCCCGCCCGCGGCGGAGCGGGTTGGGCGGCCGCCATGCAGATCTTCGTGCGCGACCTGGCGGGGCGTTCGTCGGCGCTGGAGGCGCCGCGCTCGGGAGTCGGGCGAAACGTTGGAGGAGGGACTCCAGACATGCTCGCGTCTTGGCAACATCACGATGGAAGATTCTCGACCGTGTCCAGTTCCCGGGGGGCCCTTACCGGGCCTCAGGACCGCCAGAAGAGGACTCGGGGGGGAAAACCGGCCACAGAGAATGGGTCGAGATCTTCAGGGGTCAACGTTGTGAAAGAATCATTGCTTCGAGGGTCTGGTGTCGGCGGCGCGCACAAGGGCGTGGCACGAGGCGGGTGGCCTTCCAAGGAAGCGGCGCGCTTCTTAGAAGACAGGGGGCCTTCTGAGGAAGGGCCCGGGGGCTTGCACGGAGGCTTCCTGGAAGCCTGTGAAGAAGGACGCTGCCCTCGTAGAAGTTCCCCCGCCTTCTGAGAAGGTTGCCCTCCTCGCGTTACCCCTTTTGTGGGCACTGCCAAGAGAGGGGGCCCGAGGTTTGACGTTTTCGGGAGTTGCCGACGGCTCTGGCGGTTTCCCGACCTCGGGATGCTTTCCAGCAGCTGCGGCCTTGCCGAGAACGTGCCAGAATCGTCCCGAACGGCCGCTAGAGACCCGAGCTATGACCCGAAAACCAGACGACGACGAAGACCATTCGGATCGGACCCAGAGGGCGGATTGGGAGAGGGGGATACGGTATCTGCTGCACACGCTCGGTCTCGGCCCCGCAGCCGGGCAAAACTCCGTTGACGCCCTGGCGCCTCCAGACGAGGCTTTGGGAAAGCCACTTGCGTGCAGCTGACTCGCGAGCCACCCCTTGCGTTGCCCCGCCTTCGCCCGCCCCGAAGCCCCCCCCCCCGCCGTCTGGTCGTCAGCTCCACCCCTGGACACCCGACGGTCTGATTCTTCCAGTGCGCGGGCCCAGAGGCCCCGATCCGTTCCGTTCGCGTCTGACGCCCACGAGGTCCGATGCCAGGCCCAGCGGCCAAAATCGAGCAGCACGTGCTGGAAGTGAGAAAATCATCTCGTCGGAGATCGGGATCCGTTCCGTTCGCGTCTGACGCCCACGAGGTCCGATGCTCAGGCCCAGCGGCCAAAATCGAGCAGCACATGCTGGAATTGAAAAGATCATCTCGTCGGAGATCGGGATCCTCTCTCGTGCCCGATCCCTGCCTCGGAGGCCCTTCCCCCCCTTCCCCACAAGACGCGTCATCCCTCCCAGCCGAGCTGTTCGTCTTGGTCCGACTCCTGACTCAGAGGAGCCAGGAGCCATGAGAATAATGCGCTGAAAGCTTGAGAACGACACGTTCTAGGGCCTCCTAGATTTCCAAGTGTCCCACACGGTCTCGGAAACGAGGGCCATTGGAGATCATGGAACGTATTTTGAGCCAATCCTCTCATGACATGTTCGTCCTATTGATACTTGATACCCCACCGGTGCCCGCTGCGGCCCCCTGTAGGCTGAGAGTGGCGTCACAAAGTCATCCACCCGTAGGAGTTGCCACGGAGACGGCGAGGTCGTGACCGTGGAGGAGGAGGAGGAGGAGGAGGAGGTTCAGGAGTGAGGACAGGATAGGATAGGATAGGATAGGCTGGCGCCCAAGACAGGTCTTCGGCGGAAGGGTCAAGCCCGCGGATCTGAACAACATATGACGGGTGCTCCATCCATGGGAGCCTGTGTTGAACAATACGCAGGCCAGTTCGATTTTCGCATTGTAGTTTATTGCACGCGTATGTCGATCCTTGTTGTTCGGCTTCATCATTTGTGACATGACATGTATGGTATGTCACATCCTTTTTCTCCACGGCGGACGGCAGCGTCACCCTATGCCCTTTTTGTTATGGGCTACCGTGCTTCGCATTGTTTTGCTTGTACGTCATGCTATGCACGCGCCGCCCGCTTACTTTGTAGGTAGCTAAGCCTACATTGGCCTCACACTGTTTCCCTTGCACTGAGACGTTCAAGCCTCGTCGCCAAAGTCCGACCAAAGTAGTAAAAACATCCAGGCGAAGGGCCCAACCATATGCAGTTGTGGGTACCGCGAGGCAAGTGAGAAGACGCAGAGGAAGGAGTGAAAGGTGTGCCGACATGGGGCGGGTGCGCCATGCCGACCCTGCTACTCGGGCATTGGATGGCGCTCCCTGTGGGGCCACGGCACGTGTGAGGGATGTCCCGAATCGGATGCGGGTACGCCATGCGGACGCTGCCTCTGGGGCCTTCGGCGGAGCTCCCTATGGGGCCACAGCACGTGTGAGGTGTGTGCCGAAGAACCGTGCGATTACGGCATGCGGACCTTGCCGCTGGGGCCTTCGGTTGAGCTCCATATGAGACCACGAAACATGTGAGGGGTGTGCCGAATCGGATCTGGGTACGCCTGCGGACCCTGCCGCTGGGGCCTTCGGTGGGGCTCCCAATGGGGCCACGGCACGTGAGAGGGGTGTCCCTAATCGGCTGCGGGTACGCCATGTGGACATTGCCGCCGGGGCCTTCGATGGGGAACCCTATAAGGCCACGAAACGGGTGAGGTGTGTGCTGAATCGGGCACGGGTACGCCATGCGGACCTTGCCGCTGGGGCCTTCGGTTGAGCTCCCTGCGGGGACACGAAGCGTACGAGGGTGGTGCTGAATCGAGCGCGGGTACGCCATGCGGGCTTTGCCACTGGGGCCTGCGGTTGAGCTCCTTATGGGGCCCCGACACGGGTGAGGGGTGTGCTAAATCGGGCGCGGGTACGCCATGCACACCTTGCCGTTGGGGACTTCGGTGGTGCCCCCATGTGGGGCCACGAAACGTGAGAGTGGTGTGTCGAATCGGGCGCGGGTGCAGCCTTCGGACCTTGCCGCTGGGGCCTTCGGTGGAGCTCCCTTCAGGGCCACGGCACGTGTGAGGGGTGTGCCGAATCGGATGCGGGTGTGCCATGCGGACCTTGCCGCTGAGGAATATAGTGGGGCTCCCTGTGGGGCCACGAAACGGGTGAAGGGTGTACTGAATCAGCTGCGGGCACGCCATGCGGACCCTGCCGCTGGGATGACGATGATGATGATGATGATGATGATGATGATGATGATGATGATGATGATGATGACGATGGTGATGGTGATGGTGATGATGATGATGATGATGATGATGATGATGATGATGGTGATGGTGATGGTGATGGTGGTGGTGGTGATCTTAATGGTGACGGTGATGATGATGGTGCTGATCCTGATGCTGTTGTTGGTAGCGACGATGATGATAATTATGCTGATGATGTTACTGATAATATGATGATGCTGATGATGATGATGATGATGATGATGGTAATGATGATTGTGATTATAGTGATGATGATGAGGATGAGGATGAGGATGAGGATGAGGATGATGGTGGTAATAATGATGGTTTTGATGATGATGATGATGATGATGGAGGCGATGATGATGATGGTGGGGATGATGACGACGATGATGATGATAGTGATGATGAGTGTGATAACGTGGGTGATGGCGATGAAAATATTGATGGTAATGATGACGATGGCAGTGATGATGACGATGATGATAATCATGACGATGATGATCATGATGATGGCGATACTGATGATGACAGTGATAGTGGTTATGATTAGTGTGGTGATGATAATGCTGTTGCTGATGGTGGTGGTGATGATGATGCCGATGATGATGATTATGATGATGATGATGACGATGATGATGATGATGATGATGATGGTGACGAGAAGGGCAGAGGTAAGGAGAGGTAGGAGGGAGGAGGAAAAGGAGGCGAAGAGGGACGCGGGGACTATCTCTTCAAAACGAGAACCCAACACCACAGGATGGTTGGGAGAAAGAGGCCTTCGCCAGGTGGACTTCTGTCCCGGATTCATTTCTGATGGTCCTTGGGCCAGACGGCCCCGGAGGCCGAAATGAAGGATTGACCACCGGCATTGAAAACAGTTCTTACGTCGGCGGTTAGGAAGAGATACACACATTGGAAAAACACGTCGACGGAGAGCCCGAGCCCGAGGGGAAAAAACTACAGAAACATACATCCTCGGAGCTCCGCGCGGATTTCTTGGATCGGTGTCTCCTCCTCCTCTTCCTCCTCCTCCTCCTCCGCCTCCTCCTCCTTCTCCTCTTCCTCCTTCTCCGCCTCTTTTTCCGCCTCCTCCTCCCCCTCCTCCTCCTCCTGCTCCTGCTCCTCCTCCTCTATGCTCCTCCTCCTCCTTTTCCTCCTCCTCCCCCGAGCCCCGTCCGATCGACGTCTGGCCGATCCTCACCCCGAAGGGGCCCCGAGAGCCCAGGTCGAGCCAGACGCGGACGCAGTGGGCCTGAAGTCGCAGGTCTCGGCCCTCTGCGGGGTCCCCGCCGCCGAGCAGCGCCTGGTGTTCGCGGGCCGCGCGCTCACGGGCACGGAGGCGGGGACGCGGGGAAACACAAAGAGAGAGTCGCCCCTTGTCTCCTCCTCTTCCTCCTCCTTCTCCTCATCCTTCTCGTCCTCCTCCTCCTCCTCCTCCTCCTCCTCCTCTTCCTCCTCGTCATCAGCAGCAACGTCATCATCCTCATCATCAGCATCATCATCCGCAACAGCAACATCATCACCACCACAAGCATAATGATCAACATCAGCATCATTACCACCAACATCATCATCATCATCATCAGCAGCAGCAGCAACGTCATCACCATCATGGTAACCAACATCATCACCACAATCAGCATCATTGTCATCATCATTGTCAGCAGAATCAGCAGCAGTATCATCATCATCAGCAGCATCATCAGCATCACCAGCAGCATCACCAGCATCGGCATCCGAATCATAAGCATAACCATCATCAGTACCGTCATCATCATCGCCATCTTCATCCGCATCACCCTTATCATCAACATCACCGTCATCAACAGCATCATCAGTACCATCGTCATCATAATCAGCATTAGCGTCCGTATTCTCATCATCAGAACCAGCATCAGTCCATATCCATGTTGGCTCAAGGCAAAGGTGGCCTTCACTTTACTGCATCAGCGGGGCAGGCGCCCATCCGACTCCGTTCGCGCGTACACACTCTTCAAGAGTTCCAAGACCAGGTCCGCCCTTGGCATTTCCACATCCAAGACCTGGACTGAGCCTCGCGCCCCAGGCACCTCCACATCCAAGACCAGGACCGAGCCTCGCGCCCCTGGCACATCCACATCCAAGACCTGGTCCGAGCCTCGCGCCCCAGGCACTGCAGTGACGCACCCGAAAGCTGGCAGAGAACGCGACACCCGTGGGCGACATTATCTTCGCGGCCCTCCTCAGTATTCCCAGTCAACCATCAGCGTTTCATGTGCTACGCCCATCCCGAACAATGTTTGCTTCAAGCCCGGACGACACCAAGGCCACTGGCTCTTGCGGTGCCCGAAGCGGCGGAGCTTCGCAGGGTGCTGCGCGACGAAGCGACGCCAACGACGACGGCAACGACGGGAAAGACGCTCGCGATCGCACCCGAGACCATTCTGATCGACGAGACCCTCTTCAACACAGAGGTCATTGGCAGTCGGGCACCAGTCGATCTGCTGCGGCGGGGCGGCGCGCTGGCCGCTCGGGGGGAGCAGGCGGACACCGAGATAGTGAGCCCTGCCATTCCAACCCGCCGCCAGAACGTGGACTGGGCCCTCATCTCGATGCAGCAGCAAACGCCGAGTTGGCATGGCAGCTTGAAATCGCCCAACGTTTCCGCCACAAAAACTTCGAGTAGGCGCCGCGGCAGCTTCAGCTCATCCGCGGCCAGCTACACCACCCGCCGGCCACGACGCTGCAGTTCCGTGACCCCCACGGCCTCAGCGAGACGCCCTGGGACCGACTGGGCAACCTCAACAGCTCCCTCGGCTTCCGCAAGGGCCCATGCCACAGGATCTCTCGCGTGCCACCGAAGGAATCGTCAGTTCGCAGCCCTTGATGGCCTCGCAGCAGGCCAGCGACGTCTTCGACTCTACATGGGTAAACGTCCAACATGATCTTCGCACCACAATCGAGCAGCACTATGCCCCGCAGCAGCAAGCCAGACTTGCACAAGCAGCACGCGACCTCGGCAGCACCTGCAGACGACAGGGCCAACAAGCAGCAGATCTGCAAGACCTTCGGCAAGCCGTTCGCAAATTGTAAGCAGCAGCATCACTCGCTGAAGCTCAGCCACCTACCATCGACCTTGCTAACGGGGCAGATTCTGACCGAGAGCCGAACCCCGCGCTCCGTGCTCTTCCAGATCGGAGCGCCCAGTAACATTCAGCCCGCACAGGTTCGTCGCGCCACAGCGCAGTGGACTCCAGATGCCCAACCCACAGCAGACCAAGTCAAGCGACTCGCAGACGCCCCAGCACGTCGGTTTCACCTACTTGTGCTAGGAGGTCATGAAGTCGAACGGCCACGGGCGCTCGCACTGGCCCGCGCGCTCAAAATCGTCGGCGGGCGATGGCGGACCTTCTCGCCACCCCGCGCCCACGGCGCGAACGCCCCGCCATTCGCCCCCAGCGACAAGTCGCCGAAGCAGGTGCGCAAGGAGTTCCAGACCAAGCGCGGGGCGGGCATCCTCGGCGAGCTTCCCTGGCATGGATATCGAGACGCTGCGGCAGTCGGGCACTGCGCGGCCAGGGGCGATGCCGACAGCGGAGATGCAGCCGCACGGCCTACAGGAACAGTCGAGGCTCAACTGGAATCCAGATGCGGCCACCAGCATGGGGGGCCAACAAAGACCTGGCCAAGCAAAAGTTCGAGGCCGCCTATGTCTCGATCGGCACATCCACGCGGTCTATTCAACAGAAGGCGGGCCCCCTGGGAGGCCACAACACGACGCGCCACTGCAGATTGTCTCGTGGAACGCTCGCGGCTTCTTACGCCGCAATCACTTCCGACACCGTCAGAAGTTCCGCGAGCATGAGAACGCCGCCGGGTCTCGCTCAATTATTCGAATGCAAGAACGTCATGGATTGCAAGCTGGACTGGACGCGAATTCGGCACGCTCTCCACAGCCGGCCTCTTACACTGGATCACGATCGGGCGGGTTCTCCGCGGGGGGGGGGGGGGGGCAGACGCGGAGCAGGAGGGGCTGTCCTGGAACTCGGGCTCACCCGGGCCGAACGCGAGATACTTCGCCAAGATCAAGCAGCTGGACGGCTGCCCTCGACCACGAGACCTGCGATCACCACGCGCTCGAAGATGGACGGGCGCACGCAGCTCCTCGCGGTTCCCAACATCATCACTGAGCGCGAGCCCCGCATCCGGAACGCGCATAACTGCGACGTGACGACTGACCAGACAAGCACATTGCAGGCGGAGTGGGTCGCACACTCCACACGAGTGCGATCGGATCTGGCGCGCTTCACCCTCACCGCGCCGAAGGACTTCAATTTCTCCGACGCGCCCTCGCGATCGCACCTCAAGCCACAAGCTCGTCAGCGACATCAGACGCAAGAGGGCCGCCATTAGCAAGACCGACACTATAGGCGGCAGCTTGCCCGAACGAGCGCGGTGGAAGACAGCTATGAGATGCCGACTTTTTTTTCTCCAAGCAGCACCCGAAGCCACGATCGACCGCATCTTCGTCGCCACCCCGCCCGCGTTCGCCCCCGGCCCCCGCGGCCGACTCAGCGTCGCCCAGGATTCGGCGACGTCTGCGGGCGCGCGGCTCCGCGACCACGCCGCGATCAAGCTCGCGATCGAGAACCGCAAGCCGCCCGTGAATGACCAGGGCCCGACCCTTGATCTCATCTGCCCCCCTCAGCAGCACAAGACTCTTTTCGCCAAGATGCCGAACGAGGCTGAACTGGACACCCGCGGCGGCTCGACGCCACGAAACAGATCTCGCCCCTGGCGGCCGAGCTGGCGCGCAACGAGCTGCGGCAGCTTCCGCCGGGCACGGCCGACGTCAACGTGCTGGAGAGTAGGCGGCTCGCGCTCCGCGCCATTGCGCGCGCCATCTGGCGCTCTGACCTCGCGGCTGCTCGCCGACTAGCCGCTGCCCCAGGTTTCGGACGTTAATGCATTGATGTTTCGGGGTCCTTCCTACAGCTGCGCGACGCGGCTGAGTTTCAAAGCGCCGCTGCTCGCAGTGGCCAAGCATGGCACGAGCAGCCCGGCGCCCCACGGCAGCTCGCGCGGCCCGCGCGCAGGATCAGCCAACCCTCGAGGAGCAGCGCCGCGCCCAGCGTCGAGCGGCGCTCTGGGCGCCATGTTCAAGGCGTCTTGCATAGCGCGATACCACGGCCAGTCAGATTGCCCAAAACTCGAGGGTAAACGGCGGAGGCTCCGCGCCCCCACCGGCGGCCAGAGAGCCGGAAGACGTCGCCCGTGCGCCCCGACTCCACCGGTCCCCGATTTTCTTTGACAAACGCGTTTCGCGGGCTGGAATCGACGCTTTCCTGGACGAAGTTTCGCCTGCGTTCCCAGACCTGCCGATTCCTTCCAGGGGTGCTCTTATTCAAGCCATTAAGCCAGGACGGAATTCGGCGCCTGGTCCAGACTGCCTTTCGCACCAGGCCTGGCTGGCCGCCCCAGCCACCATTGACTGTCTATACCCAATATTTCTTCGCCTCTTCAGCTCCCTGCTCGCCCCCCCGAACCATCTTACGTTTGCTCACCCGCCGAAGGGCGACGAGATCGGCGACGCGCTCGACTGCTTTCGCGATGCATCAGAGGCGCGACCGTGATCCTTCAAAAACTGCGACGCCAAAGCGACGGCTTCTGCCATCGATTTCCCGCCAACGAAGTTAACGCGAGAGCGAGCGCACGCAACCCAACATGGGCTTCATCAGAGGCCGCAATTTCTGCCAGAACATAGCCAAGCTCGCGCGAGAGCGGTCGGCTTTCACGAGGACACTCACTGTCGGAGGCCCTTGTTCGTGGCATTCGATATCAAGGCGGCGTTCCACAGCGTGAATAGCACGTGGCTTTTCGCGGTCCTTGAACGCATGGGCCTTCCCCTGGGCACCTGGCCGCGGTTCGAGGCGCGCGCGCCTTCGCCTTGGCCCCCACCCACATCCGCGACGAGGTCGCGCCGCTGCTGCTTATCAACTCAGGCATGATGCAGGGGCGCCCACCAAGTGGGTCCTGCTGGACATGTGGCATGGACCCCATCATCAGATCGCCGAAATTGACGCCCCCCCCCCTGACCCTCGCGACGGCTCGCTCGGCGGCTGCCTGGGTGGCCAAGGAGCAGACCTTTCGAAGCCGGTGCACCTCACTCGCCTTTACCCCACCTTCGCCTCGGCGTCGAGCCTCGCCTCTCCCCGCCCCCGCCACCGCACGTGCGCGCCAGTGCCGTCGCGTGCAAGGTGCACTCAAGACGTCATCGAGGACGCGCGAGCGGTCCTCCGCACCCCCCCCACCCCCCACCCCCCTCCGAAGTGGCAATCCTTCACAATGGCATGCCCCGCC